TAAACACAACAGGGACTTTGACAATTTCTTTCGCGACTTGATATTAACTGCAAAACCGATTTTTCTTGAACGTATCCGATAGGGGAATAATGTTCGACAAGAAATTTCGAGCTGCAATATATCTATCTAGATTTTTTACACCCTCAGGTTAGTCTGCTATCGGTTTTTTTCTCGGATATTGACAATTATTGCAAGAATTTGACATTGCGTATGAGACAGACCAACGAATTTAAGCTTACTGAATTATTAGTTTGGAGTTTGCACTATATTTGTATGATTAGTATATTGCATTGCGCGCATTGCATTTCATAACGCATTTCAGAATTCTACATTGTAACCTGAATCTGTCTTCAAATCAGGCTCCAATTTCTCCCGGTATGGCCTGTGTAACCATGTGACCATCCGACCAAGAAGCTTCTCATCGATATTGTCCAAAATCACTAATCCCTCCATTCCTTTATGACCTGCCATCCAACAAGATAGGTCAGTAAGTTGTCGACACATCAACCATCCACTAGTAACTTGCTCAATATTGCACAGCATGCATTGCACTCCATGGATTTCTTTCAGGCTTTCTTGGTTTTGCCAACCACAACCTGGGTTTAGACCTCACGCCTACCATCTTTCTAAGGCTCAATGTTATCAAAAATTATTTAACTTGCCTCATGGTAAGAAACAGCCGTCAATTCATTTTTACTCGACATGAAGCCTCTCTATTGCCGTTGGGCTGCTTTAATAGAAGGTAAAGAAAAGAAGTTCAGAAGAAAAATAATAGTCATTCCCGGTTTGCAAAATTTCACAAAATAGTGCTAATTAAACAATAGAAAACAATGGAATTTGCATGAAATTGTGCTATTTAGTATTACTAAAGTTTCAGAGTTATATTCTTTTTAACTTGTATACGTACCCATCTTGGTTATGCTCGTTAACTATTAGTTTTATCAGTGTATATTATAGTTGTTTCTTATTACTTGTATTATTATTAGTATATGTATATGTATTATTATCGGTATATGTAATAGGACTCCATGAATTGGACGAGAAAAATTCTGAGGACTTCCAAAATTGGATGAGATTAAGAAAATAATTGGACAGTTACCTATATGGGATTAATGAGAAGCTGTATAATAATAATAATAATAATAATAATCAATTTACAGAACAAACAACCAAGTGTTTGAGTCATCTTTTTAAAAACTCAATTCCTGGGTATATTAAGTAGTTTAAAGCAAGCATGTAGTGATATCCAGATACATGTACATCATTAGTTTTAGATAACAGTGAGTTTATGATGCTTTTATCATTGACTTAGATGTTGCTTGTGTAACCACAGGAAGACCAACCAATAAATTTGTAATATGACTACAAATGAACTTTTTTTTAAATAGAAAATAAGGTGAGGTGGACATACATGGAATAAGAATACTTTTTGTTGGAAAAGAGAGAATATGTATGGCAGAGTTAATTTTCCAAGAGTAGTATATGTATTTTCTGAGGGTTGTCCAATACCTCAAGAAATGCGTGACTCAAAATGTCATGCAGATTGAAACCAGCAGCTGATCATCAAAACAGCACCTCCCTTCAAACCTTCGACTGGTAGAAGCGTAAATGCCAGCACCACATCCATGTTGAATAGTAATGTACTGCTCACATAAGCAAATATATCAGTGGTAGTAACACTTGTGAAGGCTGACTTCACATAGGATATTCTCATTGTTAAGAGATCTTTCATTGACAGTTTATATTTGGAACAGATTTTTAACAGCTCCTGGCAGTAGAATGTCAGTACATCTTGAAGAGTAGCAGTAGCGATTGCTTCTGAAATGGGAAAAGTAAATAGAAGTCAATTTGAGTTCACATCAAATTTGAGCGGAAATATTTTTTCTATTTTAATTTGAGGGTTTATATCTGGGTTCTAACAGCCTAACAGGCAGCCAAATTCTATTAATTCAATCTGTGAGTTTGCCATAACCTGACTCAGGGTGAAGTTATATACTCAAGGCAATAAAATTGACAATCATTGAATAAATGATGAACTTTCTATAGGCGCACTGTTAAAGAAAGAAACCATATCCCAGCTAAAGTATATGGTCTGAAACATTTGTTCCAGACAAGAAGTTCACTTGATATATCTAGTCTAAAAATGCAACTCACTGATATGACAGTTAACGACACCACACGTTCCTGACTCCTGGCAGAGAACACCTTGAAATATTAATGAAGCTTTCTCACAATCCATAAAGCTGGAAAAATCTAAAAAAAACCAACATAAATTCCTTTCTTAACACTTCACAGTACAAGGGTATAGGCCATTCCATTGAAATAAGCAGTTGAGTCAAATTAACTAAGCAGAAACTTTACCTCCTTACTAATGTTGAGATGCTCTTTTCATTTCTGGTGTTGGTTTTGACACAAGTGGTCAATTTAAGGGGAGTATGATTATGTAACTTGTCAGTACAAGTCTTTCATTGAGCTGAGGACAAGTTATGGCGTTATATTCCCGACAAAATTCAACCTCAGGTTTTCGACATTCTAATAAAGAATTCAGTGTTTCACTTGCAATGCAATATTGTTAGTTGCTTTTCCGACATTGAAGATTTCGATTTCAACTTAGCTGTAATCTCGTCCAACATTCGAGTTCCACGATT